GATCTTCATAACCGTTCCTTGTTTTCGTTAATAAAAATATGGTCCTCACCTGCTTTTCTTTCCGTTAATAATATGTTTTTTTAATTTCTCCAGAAAGAGATAAACTTATTTCCCAATCTTTTCTCGCCAATGAAAATATATTTGTTTTCCTCATTTCTTAACAAAGAGACTCTCTGTTTTCCATCCTTGAACCGGTCATTGTCTCAGCGGAGACACAGGCCAATCACCTGCCTGTTATGACGGATCGATTTTCATCGTCTTAAACTTCGCTACAGATTCATTCTCTATTTGTATTTCTCGATTCGTTTTCGCTAATAAAAATATAATTCTCACCTGCTTTTCTTTTCGCCAGTGAGATATGTTTTCCTCATTTTCCAAGAAAGAGATAAAATTGTTCCCCAAATCTGTTTTCATCCGCATACCAGATTCTCGATAGATAACAAAAATAAACTTTAGGAGAGAAGAAATCCAAACGGTTCCATTCTCACCAATGAATATATATATATATATATATATATATATATATATATATATAATTTTGTACTTAACCCTTTTTTCTTTTTTCTGCTTATCGACTCAGTGTCACATTATATTCGATATCCAATCAGTTGAGAATTGAAATCTTTTCTGTATGTCATTTGGTGAAATCTCCATTTCCGGTCGATTATCACGGCCATGATTTTCTTAAATTGGAAAGAATACGGCCAATAGAGTTTCCAAAACGTAGCTTACTCATTTATGTGCAGGAGATGATCGATCATGGCTCTCCACCACTTCCCATCTTTTGTAGCTCTAAGTTATGTTTTGTGTCCTTACTATTCATCCTAATGTTCTGCCATCCATTTACATAAGTTCTTGAGATAGGTTACTTGCTTCTTTACCCCTGTCCCTCCTCTTGCCTTCAGTATATTCTAAGAGTATTAAATTCTCCAGGCTGTGTTTCCTTATGTATCCCCAAATGTTTAACTATCTCTTTCTGATTCTAAGTATAATTGTCCATTTTGTTTCCATTTTCCTTAAAACCTCTTCGTTGCTTATATGCTCTATCCAAGGTATTTCAGTATCTTTCTGTATAACCACATCTCTGTTGTTTCAAGTCTCCTCTTCATCTATGAAGAAATTGTAGGGATCCCAAAACTTGTAAGCCCTGTTTTGACGTTCGCTATCATATTCTACACGTAAACAATTCTCTTTTGTTTGGGGGTCTTTCTTTGTTCAGGCCAGGCAATCTTCAGCTATAGGCAACAGCATGTCCCACATAGGTAAGGTACCTTTTACAGCCTGTTGTACCCCTTACCCTAAGACTGGATAGCGATTTAATCACAAGGTCTTTTGTGCATCTGACAATATTATTTGAGTTTTCTATCAAACACAGATACAATCTGTTTATATAGCTCTCAACTAGCAACACCTCTTTCTTTACTAGATGAGTGCACTTCTTGATCCACTACAGGAAAATCAACTACTTAGTCTAAAGTACCCGCCGATATCTAATCTATGTACAATGAATTGAAGATATAGATTAAATCCTATAAAATGATTAAATAAAGAACAAGAAAACCTTTACAAATTTAATGTTTCCCTATGTGATTAGCTTCATATTAATCTATATATACGATTCATTTTATTGGAACATGGGGAAATTCTAATTTACCAATATGAAATAAAAAACAGTGGTGCTGTACAATAGGGCTGGTCGATTTTGGAATTGTGGTATTGCACTTGAGGAGGTCTGTATTGTGGAAGTCATAAAGTAAGGGTTTACTTGTTTACAGGTGGTTAACGTCGGATAACGTACTTAATCCAAATATACACCAATTTATGGCCTTTTAAAAATGCATGCAGAGATAATTAATACAACGATATATATTGCATGTACTGATAAAAAAATCTATATATCTTAAAATAAAACATAATATTCAGAGTTCATAAGTTCCTATCAGAAAGTTCTCATGTTGAAAGTCCTTTAGCATATAATAGAAAGAGAGAGGGAGAGAAAGAGGGAGAGAGAGGAGCGTCCTTGTAAAATGTGTATGTATGTATGTATGTATGTATGTAAGCATTTTTTGATATCCGTAATTCTTTCGAAGCTCTCTGTGGAAATTTTAGGTGTCCAAAGCTTTAGGGAATGAGACAGCGGATAAAATTCTTTCAGTGGCTGATCGTTTTGTTTGCTCGTTACTGTTTAGTTTTTACATTTTTCTTCAGACAAAGGAATTGATTCACCTATTGTTTCTTGATTTTGATTGGTTCACATAAATAATTCACTTGTCAATCCCTTTTTCTTCAGTTACGTTTAAGAATGAGAAACTTTTGTCTTCTTGTATTTCTTTTTATCTTTGGTCACCTCGAGGCGGTGGTTAGCAAGTTTGGCTCGCTAGAACAATTACGACTGAGTAGTGAGTTCGATCCTCACTGGGTGCCCCCTAATTTCGGCCTTGTGCCACATCTAAGCTACGCTTGGAAAATCACTATTTCTTTATGGCAAAATGGTTTGCCAACTTTTATGTTTCTATTTTTTTTACTTTTGAAATAGTGAACTTTTTATTTTTCTATCGTCACACACTCAAATTGAAAGTTGGTGTTGGAATCGCGTGGTAAGTGGACATATTATAAGAAGTATGTAAGAAGAGAATGGAACAAGATATCTACTACGTAACATGTTTATTCACCAAGTAGCTTACAACAGATAGAATATACAGGGAATATAAAATTAACCCCTTTCTAGAGAGTTCCTTAAAAAGGGAGATAACTGCACCCACAGTTTACAGTTGGGAGTTTGATATGATAAATACTGGCACAAAATACTTTTTTTCCAAATCGTTACCGTTTTTTGAGGAAACTAGTTAGAAGATAAAGTTTAGGTTAAAAATCAGAGAGTGGGAATTTAATTCCGGTCACCATTCATTGCTCGTCGGAATTAAATTATAAAGACTTATAAAGAATTATAATTTTCTGAAGCTTTACATATGAATAAGATTCATGGCACAAGCACATTATTGCTAAATCATTTTGCCATCAAATAAGACCTTGATTTACTTCAAAGGGGAATTATACTGAACAATTTAGCTATATAGAGTAGTTTTGGTAAGATTTTTCAATAGTGCAAATTTAAAACATCTTGTCTTATAATTTGTGACAATCAGTATGGTGTTATATACATTTTTATCTATTTTCTTATTTTTATTAATTATGATTTCCCAATTCAAATTTTATTCATTGAGTAGCCATTTTTGTAATCTTTTACAATTTTTTTTTTAGTTTTTACTTATCGAATACCGTAAAAAAAGTTGCATATTTTGCTTGTGGTAATTTATAATTAGAATTCAGGTTTGAAAATATTTTCTATTCAATGTATATAATACAAAATATAAAGTTTATTTTAATTTATTATTGAAATAGTAAACTTTTGAAGTCAGTTTGTAAGCAAAAAGATGCGGAAATTAGATATTTCTGTACATTTTTTTCAGGCGATCTTTAAAACTAAATGTTCATAAATTGGTAAAAGCTACGAATCTAATTTTTGGTGGCAGTGCTTACCACATCAAATCGCAGTTTTCGCACAAATGCAATTTGTTGATTTTCTATTAAACAAAAGGAAAATCATCATGCTGTATTGTACCGTTAGTACTGCGATAATGAATATTCATTCTTTTTTTTTTATTGCTAGACATTAAGCACTTGTATCATTTTATAAAAGTCTAGGGTCGAGTTTTCTACGTAAATTCATTCTAAGTTGATTACCCGACGAAATCCAAACGAAATAAACTCATCCGACGTGAAATCTTAAAATATAAAATAAATTAAATGAAATTTGTATTCTGGAGTGTTTAATTGATAGTGATATATGAAAAAAATTACGCCAAATTATAAATTTCAATATTTTTTTTCACATTTTAAATCCTGTTATGAGCCTATTTTGTTTTGGCTTCTGTATAGAAATAAATTTCGAATGACTTTGCATAACGAACTGGATCCCATTATTAACTTTTATAAAATTTAATAAAAAAATATATTTCGATCAAGATTGCTTAATCTATATCGCAATATAATGATAATTTCTGGTCGCAGTCCCTATTGCACTCGCCACCAAAAAAACAAAAAAAAACTTCGATAATCAAGTTACACTTTGGGAAATTGTTCCTTATTTAATAACTATGTATAATATGTAAAATGCCTCTATAGCGATTGCTATGTTTTTCACACCCACATACATTCCAAGTCATTTTATTCGCCTGCGATTGGCTAATAAATTAGTACTACCTTTGTATAGGACAATTTAGCCGTCCCAGTCGTTCCTTTGAATCTTTTGGTTCTGAGCATACTTACCTATTCTGTTTAGTACGTGTGTAGTAATTGTTTAATCTTTAACCAATCACATATTTTTAATGTAAGATCAAGTTTTCCCGTGATTCCGTGGGAGCCAACCTCTTTTCCTTAAATAGGGAGACTTTTCGCAAGTCGCCAGTAAGATACCAGCCATCAACACAAATCCACGATCTTGCTCATCACACTTTAACGCACACACAGACACAGAATTTCGTAACTACAAACTTACATTTTCTCTCTGTAACTTTCGCCAAGTACAATCAACCAGAACTTTGTTGATTCAAACCAGTTTATTCACAACACATTTCAAGCAATTGTATTTGTGGTGTTATTCATTCTTCACATGCAAATTTTGCTCTAGCAATTATTTCGGAACATTTATCACATAAGAGAACTTTCTTCAAACGGTTGATTACAATCAATCTACAGTCAAAGGGAAAGAACTTACTTCTCTTTAATCTACATTGTGAATACGATTTTATTTCATGCTTGTTGTATTCTATTCAATATATATTTGTTGGTTAACAAATTGGATTTATTATATCTTGAATCCTATACGTGGAAGAATCATTAATATAAATAGTAGTCGCACCTATATATTTGGTGTTCCTGCTACATTTAGTGAATCGACCCGACGCAATATTTGATATGTACGCTACACCTCCCACACTCCTAGCTCACTAAAAACACCGGTTTTCTTTCGATCACCGAAGTTAAACAACGTTGAGCTCAGTCAGTACTTGTATGGAGGGACCACTTGAGATTACCTGGTAATGTAAGCAACCAGTGCACCTATAATCTGAAATGTGTTAGAGGGTTAATTAAGAAGTCGTAAAACACACACACACACACACACACATCAATCAATCAATCTACACTCCTGTAAAATTTGAAAAGCAAAAAAACCGTCACAACCAAAGTGAACAAGATTATTACACCCAAACTAAAAGTGGAATGAAGTAGTAAGTAATACTGAATGACACCAAATACTTCTAAAACAAAACAGAAACACAATCAGTGCTATATTCTTATCACAAAATATTTCAGTTGTGCGTTGGCCACTTGATTGTAATAGATTTTTTTTTTTTATCAAAACCTTTTTTATTTGTGATCATTATCATCTTTGTTCACTTCACCTCTGTATTCCTTCGCTGCAACCTTCTCTTGAGTGTCATTTACTAGAGCCGGATTTAGATTTGGAGAGGTTCTAAGATAGCTTTTAAAAAAATAAAACGCTAGAAGTGTAAAAGCCACCGCGCCCTGAAGTTTTTCGAAGTCCCTGCAAATCGTGCGATCTCAAAGTGTAAATTGTTTAACTGAAGACGATTACTATCGTCTGGAATCCCAAAATAAAAGGAATATCATCGCGTCCCATTTTTATCTCCGTGCTCAAAATGACAAATAAAGAACAGTCTGTAAGTACGTATTTTTTCAATTTAAAGTTCTTTGAATTTTAGTACTCATTTTGAGATATGCAAACCAGCATTGTACCCGCAAAGGTTACCGAATGACTTGACATTTATTAACGTATGATTTACTTGAGTATTTTAGAAAGATCGCTCAGTGCAGCTTATCGAACTAAGATTTAAAACTGTCGATTTTGAACTTCGTTAGACGGCCTCCTAGTCATAATACCAGCACATTGGATACATTGTAATATTTGTAAATATATTGTTTATTTTATTTTTATTTTTATTTTTTTGAATATGTGTCTTATATGTCAGCAACTACACTATTTATTGATAAAAAAAAAACAAAAACATTGAGAGCTTACTCAAACTGAACTTATTTTTACCTGAACTGTAATGTCATTAAATCTAGGAAATGTTGCGTGACCAAAAACGTTCGTTTGATTTATTAAGTATTTTTTGTTGTTGTTTGGTTTAAATTTTCAATATTTCGATTTTTTTTTCTGCGTTATCTTTCCCTTTTTGTCTGTCCGTCTATCAGACAAATTTATAATTCCTTCCTCTTACAAGAATTTTTTTTATCGTTTTCGACAAAAAATGATAACTGATGAAGGTGACTTTTTTTGCAATCTTGAGCATACAAACCAATTGTAGATGCACACACTATAAACTCTACAACCAAATGAAAAAGTCTATGGGATACTGAAATGTGAATGGCTCACCCAATTTAGACCAGGGGACCAGATTCAGTTATCTTGAACAAAGGAAAGTCAATTATAACAAAAAGACATAATTAAAAAGCTGACAAAAATAGGAAACAACCATAGTAGTTTTAAATACGAATGAAGAAAATAATAATAATTATAATAATAATAATAATAATAATAATAAAAGCACTAGTTAACCGGTTATCGCTCATCAGAACTCGATCGAAGAATGTATTTTTGTGCACAACCGACTAAAAGAAGGGAATTAAAAAGAAAATACATGCGTATTAATCATATAATGAGATGGGTATATATTTTATAAATAAATCATATGAATAGGATTTGTTCGTAATTTTTTAGTCGGTTGTGCACTTTGTTCGAGTGAGTTCTAACAGGTGAGGAGGGATAACCGGTCTTTTATTATTATCTTTTTTTCTTCTTTCGTATTAAACTACCGTAATTATTTTCCCTTTTAGTACTCTTCTCTTTTTTTGTACGTTCTTTTTGCTATAATTAAAATGCGTACCTCTAACAAAATCTTCAAAAGACGGTTTGTCAGGGATTTGCTCTAGCAGACTGTAGAATGAAGCAATAAAGTAAGAAAAATATGTGAAGTTTGCTTGAGAACTGAACAGATTGTGGGACATGAAGACAACACATGTACCCAGCATTACTGGAGCACTTGGAGCAGCTGCAATTAGCCTTTCAAAGAGGATATAAGAATTATAACCACTAAGGAGAATTGAACGAATCTAGAATATTCATGGAAATGTTGGAATAATGAGAAGATTTGCTGTCACTTAATCTCTTTGGAAAGCCACCAGAAACTACTGGCCTCAAAACTCAATATCTTAGACGACGCGTTTCGTCCTCTGAGGGCCTTTATCAAGGAAAATGCAAAAATTTTATTTAGCAACAAGTATTTATATGCAAGACCCAAAAATGTTATTGGTTTTCCTAATTTTTTCAATTTAAGAAAGCTCATAAATTTAAAAACTTAATTTTGCTATTGCACATGAATACTTGTTACAAAATGAAATCTTTGCATTTGCCTTGATAAAGTCCCTTAGAGGACGAAACGCGTTGGCTAAGATAAGTTTTCCTTTTGTCTTTATTCAGAGATATAAGCTATCTGAACATTTTTACATACATACATACTCACATATATATATATATATATATATGTGTGTGTGTGTGTCTGTTTTAAATATTTAGCCTCTCATAGGTGTTTCTGTTTCGAAGTAGAATTACTAGCGTTAGATGCATGCACACATACGCACGTGTATGTCTGTCTAAAGCAAGTAATAGTGCGTACGTATAAATATTTATGCAAAAACACAATTACCGTATATACTCGTATATAAGCCGACTTCATGTATAGTGCGATCATTAAGTTTTTTTGCCTGAATTTTAACCCCTCCAGAAAGATGACTTGTGTATAGTGTAACCGGCCATCGAAAATGCATGATCGTTAATTAAAACAAAATTACCTGTGTATAGTGTGAGACCCTTTTTTCTTTTTCTTCTTATTTTGCGTAAAAAAAATTATAAAAAAAAAACTTGCACTAAACTCGAATATATACGGCACACTGTTGAATAGAACAAGTTTTCTTCGGCAACGAAGCATAATCACCACCATTGGTTATGCATTTTCACCAGCGATTAAAGAAAGCCTCTATGCTACTCTTGTAAACCTGGTTTGTCACAATCATCAGTTTCGCTACTACTGAAACGTATTTTTTTTAAAATCAGAATCACACCAAGCAAGGCACTAATGCCAATAAAATACAGAGTGTGGAAGAATTAGGAACAGAATCATTATTGATGAGCAGAAAGACAAGAGAGTAATCAAGTGGACAGTAGATAACGATTGACATTGCATTTGAATTTTTGCAGATTAAAATTGGCTGGAAAGCATCGATCCGGAAGGGAGTTCCACAAGCGAGAAGTGCGATGGGAGAAACTGTTAGCATAGAACATACATCTAGCCAGCTCAACTGTAAATTGATGAAATCTCGACGCCAGTCTAGTATTGAGCTTACATTCATAAAGTCTAGATACCATAGCGAATACAACATTCGAACAATTACCATGAAAGTGTTTATAAAAAAGACATAGAGAAGCAACCTTACGGCGATGGAAAATTGGCTGAAGCTGAGCCACCAGATCAGGACCAATAATATTGCAGATTCTTCTTTGGATCTTATCAAGGGCACCAGACGATATATGACAGCAATATTCTAAGCATAGACGAAGGATAAACTTATAGACATATAAGATAGATTCTGGAAAGAAAAATTGTGTCGCCCGACATAGTGAACCGGCTTTCTTAGCAGTTGACCTATCAATGGATTCAATATAGTCTTTCCACTTCATATCAGTAGAGAACGTGAGCCAGAGAAGGTGCACTGAGTCACTTTTCTGGGGGGGGGGATAGCAAAGAGTCTCTGAGATGATTAGAGAGAAGTTTAGTTTTAGCATTATTCACCGTCTGTGCTCACATCTACTGTTTGGTTTCCATAAACGTTCAGAAAATTTTATTTCTTCATTTCTATGTACTGAAGCGCTTCTGGTAACAAAAAAAATATTGGATTTTTCTGATGACATAGCAGAAATGGAATCAAGAACTTCATAAATTTTGAAAAACCAATAACATTTGTGCACTTGTATATAAATACTTGTTACAAAATTTATTTTTTGCATTTGCCTTGATAAAGTCCCACAGAGGACTAAGATAATTTTTTCTTTTGTCTTTATTCCTATTGTCATTTTACAGACAACTTGATACATAAAATTCCTCATTTAGTGATGGGGGGGGGATAGAATAATATTTCTTTACTATTTAATCTAATTATAAATGGAAGGTTCAGTTCGTAATTCTCTGGTGGTTTACTCGCATCAATAAATTGAACTCGCAATTACTCATTATTTAAATTCAGACTATCCTCATCTTTGTTATTATCACAACGTTCGACCGTTCTGTCTTCCAGTCTTCTTGAGATGCCTGTCGATCCGAATAACCGTAAATGAATTTCGAACTGAACCATATATTTAATCTACGAAGTTAGTGTTCTCTTTCCACTGCTCATGTTTCATCTCGTCTTGTTCTGTTTTAATGCTGTTATTTAGTACTTGCAGTTTCCGCTGAGTTTGTACTACACTGACCAGAGATTGAACTCACAATTACTATGCCACCAAAACACAAACCAACGATTTACTTTATTCATTAAGCTTTTGTCCCATGGAAGAATCCTGAACCTAAAACTTCAAGGTAACAGCTGAAACGTTGTGATAATGAGAACAAAGATAGAGGTAATTCGAATGCAAATAAATGTAAATAGTTGTTTAGTTTAATATTCAAGAAATACCGAAAGTAAACTATTTTTTTAAGTTTTGATAATTTTGATACAAAAAGTGTCTGAAGTATTAAAAAAAAAAAAAGAAAAAAAAAAGAATTATCAACTAATCACTGTAAATTCAAAAACCGTCGGATTTCCTGGAAAGTTATAACTTGTAAATCAAATGAAATTATTAGATTACTTAAATACTCTTTTTTTTTTTCTTTTTTTTTTTTTTTTTTTCGGCATGTGTAAACGTAATAAAAAATGATAAGAACAGTCGAATAAGGATTTGTTTGTACAAACAAGCATTTTTTTCCGTCTG